GTCAGAGTTTAGTTTATACTCACTTTTTTCCACTATACACTTACCTGTTTAAACCGATTTTAGTTGTCAAAAATGTATTAATTGTACCTTTTTCAGACTGTGTTTTAGTAAATTTATATAAGTAGATCTGTAACAAATCCATAAAGATGGTTAACATTTCCTATCTTGTCTAGATGTAAAAATTGAATATTTACAGTGTTTATTTACACGTACACGAGTGTAGGTACGTAAATATTTATGTTCTGTAAATTTTAACACCAATTTTACTTAGCAATAAATGTAAATAAAGCTAATACTTTTGCAATTTAAAAGCAACTAATGTATGACCTGACCTCCTAAGTTTAAATAGATAGATAGATTCAAGTCAGAGCACTTCCTATTGTTGAACGTAGCTTATGCCTGATTGGTAACATGCTAGCTCACATGACCGACTAAAAATTGTAGTTTCAAGCTATCAGCTTTCATCAGTCCAATTAGGTGTGTAGATAGCATGTGATAGAGATATAGTGATCTTTAGATAGGTCAGCACTTTTAATGTAGTTTTGGTTTACAGATGCAACTTTCCTTGTAAGATGGAGTGAGTTAGGATGTTTATGTTTCTAGCTTGTTAAAACCTCATTTACAACTCAAATTTCATCACTGTAGATTGTAACATACAAAATATTAACTCACACTAGGTTAAACACTCCCACACTTTATATGTTTAAGGTTGGAAGAGGGAGAGATTTTGTCTGTTATAATCTTAATATTAAAGTAATTTAACAGTTGAGTAACTTCTTCAAAAGGCTGAGAGGCAGCGAACAAAGCGAAGAGACTACTTAAGAAAGTGGTTAAATGTTTTATTTTTAATTTCAAATAATAATAAAGAGCAAGTGAAAGAGATAGCTTCGGAAAATAAAAGAATAAACAGGCCAAACCAATATGGCGGCCAGAGACCCGAGTACAAACAATAGTTACGATATGTTTAAGCTAAAGGTTAAAAGCAGTACATCATCTTGTGAAGTTGCAACTCGCACTTTCAAAAACAAAAGGCAATTAACAATTTCTTACTTTATTAGCCGATTAGCAAAGCTCAAAAGCATCTATCAAATTCCATTATCAATGGTCAATAAAGCGAAAGCTGAAATCTGTGGCAGTCGATCTAAATTTTCACTTATTAAGAAAAAATATAACCATAAAAATGCCTTTGTTACAGCTTTCGTAGGCTTTCTTTAACTTCTAAATTCACGCTAAACGTGTCATTACTTTATTTGTATTATTATGTTTACTTAACTAGCTAACTGGTGGTATTTTTAAATATATATATATAAACATATATATATACACACAAAATGTCAAGACAATTCTGCCATGTTTTCTATGATAAATCGTTTGAGCAATAGCTTTGCATCAAACGCAGCAAAGGTGTATTAGAACTTATCAATTAAACCAAAGTAATTATAATATCGCTAATATCCGTTGAACCACAATACACTGCACAAAACAATTAAAGGATAATTGGAATTTATAATATCTAAGCTATGAGAAGGCAGAACTATAGGTATAAAGTAACGTTAATCATCGTTCATTCAATATTTTTGGTAAACCACGTATCTACTGGCCAGTCATGTGAGCGGAAATGTAGTCATTCAGCCAACATTCGTAAATGAGTATTTGGTGGATCTGGCTTTAAAGCTCGTGACATTTCACTTCAGTATGGAGTATGGTCATCCTGGTCAGTAAAGGCAGCCTGGTACCGATGTTGCACGCGTAAAATCAGAATGCTGACAATGTTATAAGGTATCCTGGTCAACTCTTCTAAAAGACATATCTTTAGTGTATGTCGAGTCTCTTAGGTGCATTATAAAGACATATCTTTAATGTCTGTCGAGTCTCTTAGGTGCGTTATAAAGACATATCTTTAATGTCTGTCGAGTTCCTTAGGTGCATTATAAAGACATATCTTTAATGTCTGTCGAGTCTCTTAGGTGCGTTATAAAGACATATCTTTAATGTCTGTCGAGTCTCTTAGGTGCGTTATAAAGACATATCTTTAGTGTATGTCGAGTCTCTTAGGTGCGTTATAAAGACATATCTTTAATGTCTGTCGAGTCTCTTAGGTGCATTATAAAGACATATCTTTAATGTCTGTCGAGTCTCTTTATCTGTCACGATTCAAGAAATTAAAGTTCCTTGAGTATGCTAGGTGTTCAGTTAATCTGCTCTTCTTCAAAAATATATATTAACTAGTTTAAATTGATAAAAGCAGTCACATCCAACCGTTAGGCTGTAGTCACGTATAATTACGCCAGCAGATGGCAGAAAAAAGGTAGTAGGATGTATTATATTAATGGTACCATTCTACAGGAGTTAGAAGTCGGTACGTCTACCAACACTTATTTCTACCCGCATAGTATTTACACTCTCCATATGCTTCACGTTCCTCTATGAGAACGAGGATGTTTCTGATTCCAGATTCTCGCTAAATAAGTATACGCCAGATATCTGAATTACAGAGTGAAGCACAACTCATTTATTAGAAGTATATTGTTATTAGTCTACTGAAAGTATTATTTACAATATCGCATACAAACTGCTTTGTACATTGTTATGTGCGGAATGCACCTCAGTGAGGATATGTCGTATGGATTGCCCTTGAGTGTGAAGTTTGTTTCTAGCCACTGTATACTTACACGGCATCCATTTACGGCTGCGAACATCTGATTCAGTCTTGAAACATGTTCGTTGCGAACCAAGTAATCCAGAATCAACATAGTGTTGTCATCTGTTTGTGTTGTTGATGACAGTCTGTCTAATCCCAGTGTCTTTGTAACTTTATAATTGATTTACATCTGTTTACATTTTGAGACGTATAGCCAGTTCGAAACAACCTGCTGTTATTGGCCAGCTTATATTCGTCTACTGATTGTTCACGTGCCTTTTCTGAGGTCTAGTCATTGTTCATGAATAACGTGGAAGATTTTAAACTCTGTGTTTCAGTTGATAATGAAAAGTGGAGCCACAACACTTGACCGTGATATGCCTGATCTGGGGGTATAATTAACAATATTTATTACAGTGATTTTTGCTTTATCATAACAAATTCTGATTTTCTTTAATTGCTTGAGGCAGTGTATAACATATAAATAAAACATGAAAACATATATTGTTAGCGTTAGACATGTTGCACAAAATAAAATGCAGAAAGAACAATGAGAAAGTGGGATCCGACAGAGAGCATAAAGGTAAGGAAAAAAAGCACGGCATAATGTGCAAAGGTAAGAAAGGAAGGCCTGGCAGAAAGGAACAAAGATGAAGAATTAGAACAGTAGCAGTGATATTTACTTTACCAAATCAACACAGCTGAGCTAAAACACGGTAAAAAGAGCTAAGTTAGAGGGCTTTAGAACCCAGAAGAACACAATCTTTATTAGCCAATCACTGTCTACGACCAACAATTCACATGACAGCATCCCAAGAAAGAGCGTATGAAATTTACCGAACAATATCTAAAAAAAATCAATGAGATGTATATTCCTAACCTATTATAACCACACAATACTAAACCAACCACCAACCTTGTCAAGTATAAAATTACAATTCAGTGAACAACAAACCTAATTTTTTAGCCCCATTATATTCTTCTCAGTTACGTAGCAACTGACTATTTCACCTGCTCAGAGTTATATTTTGAACACAACTGAAACCTTTATCTGTGGGTGAAGAGTGGATAGAGCTAAGCTCTTTTACAATCTATTGTAAATGACTGAAGAATAATTAATTTTCCTTCAAAATAACGTTATTTTTATTTATTTTTTACCTATTCACTCAATGAGATGTATTCGTGAAAGAGGGTATTAATTTATATGTATGTATAACTGAATTTAGCTATACTATTCACATACATTTTGATTCTTCAGATTAATCTTTAAAGAAGTCATGTTTATCATGTTTAAAAAAATTTCCAGAGTATCTGAAGGTAACCATTTTGAAAGTCTTAAAAGGGATGAGGAGTAAGTTTCCCACAACTCAAAACTAATGCAAAACAAATAATGAGGTTTAATCGGAAGTTTTCAAATCTTAATAATCATAATTAATTATCGTGGTTGACCTAGTTGCTTAAACATAGCCGGAAAATACCTCAAGTCCGGAAATTATTTCTACAATATTCTTCCTTCTAACTGAGCGTAAAGATTAGATTTTTATCCCTAAGTACTAGAAAATATGGACAACACAGCTGAGAAGATCAGACTTGTGAAAAAGAGGGTAGATTTTGAAGAAAAAAACCATACATATTTTAATTTGAATTCAAAGGAGAAAATAATTCAGAGTAATATTAAAATATTATTAATGAGTTCATTCTTACATGTTACGAGAATTTCTGTTGGGAAAACATACAAAACGTCATCTTCTCTCGGGTAACTGAAATGTCTTTTCATATGATTTCGTTTCGATTACCCAAGAGAAGCTGAAGTTTTTTCCGATTCTTGGAGAAATATTCGGATTCCCTCGTATATATATATATATAAGATTCAGTGTCTTTGTGTCACGTAACTCCTCCTAAACCACTGGTCACACCGACTTTTAAGTGGTACCAAACGAATCGTCTCGGTCCAAAGGTTTGCACAAAAGTAAAACTTTTCACCAAACCCTTTAGGGAACCCAAGTATTTTGCGAAAACACTTTTACGGGTATTCCTCGAAAGCGGGTCCCAAATTTGGCATTGGTTTGCATTGGAGCACGTAACTAATTAGGCCTTCTAATTAGCGTTAGTAACTTGGTTAAATAAATTGAACTTGCAATATAGCGGTAGTGATCATTAAACTGAAAGGTGCACAATAGTAGTTCAAGTATTAAACGTGTATTATAGTGGCCCTGTAAATATGGGCCATAGGCCCACAGATTCAACAGTATACTACGAGAATGTTTACTCTTTAAGAATGTCAAACAATATGTCAACTTTCTTCACATACTATTCTTAAGAACTTAAGTAAGTCTTAAAAAGCTCAAGGCTAACTTACCAGCGCAGCAACGGCACAGTTTTCAGGACACCTGTCATGGTCGACGACTTAGATTATATAAAAACTCATTTCCTCAAGGTCAGAACCTTCGAGTTCATACACATGAGTGAATGAAAAATGATATAGGAAAGTTTGATTCGTGAAAAGTCTAATAGACCTCAAAGTAACAGTGCTGTGTTTGGGTACTGGATGCTGAGTCTATGTCATAAACAAACATTTGTGTTCCGCTTGTATATATGTATATTTATATATGTTCCGAAGCACTGGGGAAGATCGCGTTACACACCCTTATCTGATCTTTTCCTCACACGTGCTCTCGCGACGAGGCACGCGCTGACTGTGGTCTTTAGCAATGTATTGAAAGGTGTCAGCTGAGCGCACTGCACCATGGGAAGTATATGAAGAACTATCCATTGCTGGTGGCTCCCGGCCTGTTCCAATATTCTAGACATGAGGTAGAAATTCAAAATTGACATTTTTTCAGCTTCACCCCTTTTTCTAATAAAGTGATCGGGATTGTGGTTGAAATATCGTTAGGTGGAACAGGAAGCGAAAAAGATCGCTTGGTGTTAATTGTGTTTTCGTAGATATTGCTGGATCACCAAGGTTCTTCAGAAGAACAATCAAACACTCAATTTGTTAATCTGTGTATAACGCGATAACGTAGTAACTCAACAAAAACAGAAAAGAAGTCTGTAGTTACTGTATGAACTTAAGTAACTAATACATGTGACCATTATTGAACTAGCATACAACATTAGCATTGTTTTAGTAGGTGGGTGAGAAAAGAAGTCTGTAGTTACTGTATGAACTTAAGTAACTAATACATGTGACCATTATTGAACTAGCATACAGCATTAGCATTGTTTTAGTAGGTGGGTGAGAAAAGAAGTCTGTAGTTACTGTATGAACTTAAGTAACTAATACATGTGACCATTATTGAACTAGCATACAGCATTAGCATTGTTTTAGTAGGTGGGTGAGAAAAGAAGTCTGTAGTTACTGTAT